TACACTTTTCAATTTACACAAAACAGAAAGCAATCCCATTCTCAAGCCAAATCCTTCCTTGTCTTCCTCCCCCTATCTCCCTACTTCCCCTCCTTCTCCTTCCCCTCTTCCTTGCCTCATCCTCCTCCAGTCTTCCCCATTAACAAGGGTACCTTCCACAGATTCTTAATCTAGCATATTACTCTTTGAGGGATTCTCAAAGTTCCTTATATAATTTAACAAAGCCAGGTCTCCATGGCCTGTGTGCTCTCAGCATTATCTTCTAAGCCCCTAGGATAACAGCCTATTAAGCTTTAATCGCCCACTGACTTTTCTAGCCCAAAGTTTCAAATGTCACCACAATCCAAAGGCAAAAAGAAAAGTAAGAACAGACAAAAGACAGACCTGTCACACCAGCATTTCACATTCCTAATAGCAGTTCTAGTTTGAGTTCTATTGCTGTGATAAACTCCATGACTAAAAGCAACTTGTCGGGACATGTATTTGTCTTACAGATTATAGTCCTTCTTCAAGGGAAGACAAAACAGGAACCTAGAGGTGGGAACTAAAACAGACAATGGAGGAAAACTGCTTACTGACTTGCTTCTCCTATCTTGCTCAGCTAGCTTTCTCTCATAGCTCAGGCTCACCTGCCAAAGGATAGTACTACTCACAGTGGGCTGATTACCCTTCCATCCATTAACAATTAAGAAATCCCCCTATAGGCATGTCCACAGTCCAATCTGATAGAGTCAGCTCCTCAGTTGAGAGTCCCTCTTCCCAGATGTCTCAGGTTGACAACCAACAATTAGCCATCACAAACTCCCATACTCATGGATCAACAAAAATAATATTATGAAGATGGCTGTATTATCAAAAACAATCTATACACCAACTGAAACTCCTATTAAAATTCCAGTGACATCCTACAGAGAAATAAAAATAGGGAAAAAAATTCTAAAATTCATACGGAGCCATAAAATTTTCCAGATAGCCAAAGGAATCTGAAGAAGAAAAAACAAAGCTGGAAGTGTCATAATATCTGCTGACTTCATGTTACGCTATAGAGCCATATCAAGAAAATCAGCATGATTTGTTGTTTACCTTTCTTACTCTGATAGTGTGCACAGTACCTTCCAGTACCATGAACACTAGTCAGTAGAGGCAAAGGCTCTGGGTAGGCACGAAACCAACTTCTCCATATTCAGTGAATTATGTTGATGTTGTCTTCAGCAACAGGGTCTTACCATTGGCTTGTGGAAAACAACTGATAGTCTTGGCCAACGTTCTCCAATGGCATCTCACTGGGTATACAAATCAACTTAAGGGAAGACCCCACATCCAACAGTAGATGGACAACACAAAACAAGTTCAGTAACATTTTGGGGACTTTTTTGTCTCAGAACGTTTTGCTTGAAAATTTTTTACCTTACTGATTTTTGCTTCTATATTATAGTTTTTTTGCTTCTATATTTCCAATTGGGGGTTTTATGGGTTTTGTTTGAATGTGTGTATATGTTTCTCTGGCTTTTTTTGTTTTGTTGTTTGGATTTGAGTTGTCTGTTTGGTTAGTTGGTTTTATTCTGTTTTGGTTTTTTGGGGTGTTTGTTTGTTTGTTTGGGGGGGTGCCCATTTGTTTTCTAAAGAGAAAAGGAAAGAAGGCCTGGATTTGGAATAGTGGAGAGGGGCAGAGGATCTGGGAGGAAATGAGGAAGGGGAGCAGTGACCAGAATATAATGTATGAAAATAAAATTTATTTCAAATTAAAAAAGAAAATCAACATGGTATTAGTAAAAAATAAAAGAAAGAAAGAAAAACCAAAAATATAGAGTCATGGAATAGACAGATGAGACACCTAATTCTTGACACATGCAGCAAAAACATACATTTGAAGAGTGAATCTCTTCAGCAAATGGTGTTGGAGAAACTGGGCATCCATATGTAGAAGAATGAAACTGAAGACATCTCTGCCTCCCTCACAACCTGTACAAAATTCCAAATGTGTCTAATTCCAAATGGATCAAAGGCATTAATGTAAGACCTAAAACTCTGAAATAGTTAAGGAGAAAACATATCAAGATATAGGCTTCTCAGGAAGTAGTACCAACAACAGCAATGTACAAAAATCTAAAAGCTTTTGTACATCAAAGAAAGCAGCAGATAGAGTGAAGAGGTAGCCCACAGAATGGGAGAAAAAGAACTCAACAAGCTTAACACCAGAAAAAAAATCAAACAATGCAACCTGGTCAGTAAATAGGTTAATGAAATGAACAGTCAGTTCCCAAAAGATGAAGCACAAATTGACAATAAATATATGTTCAACATTCTTGGTCATCAAGAAAATGAAAATTAAAACTACATTGAGATTCTACTTTATCCCAACTAGAATGGCTATAAGTAAGAAAATAAGTGACAACAAATTGTGGATATGAAGAAAGGGATCCATATACACTATTAGTTGGGATGTAAACCAGTTCAGCCAGGATGGAAATTAGTGGAGAGGTTGCCCCAAACACAAATATATAGCTACCGTATAACCTAGCTATACCACTTATGGGAATATACCCAAAGAATGTTGGGTTAATATGCACAGAGAGACTATTGCATATGGTGTTTATTAATGCACTATTCATAACAAGCAAGTTGTGAACTTTTCCTTGGTATCTATCGGCAGATAAAGAAGGAAAGTAAATGTTTATGTGTATACAATGAAGTTTTATTTAACCAGAAAGAATTAGATTAGTTTACTTAGTGGGAAGTGACTGCAAATTGAAAATATCATTTTAAACAAAATAAATCAGAATCAGAAATACTAATATCATATGATTTCTCTCATTTTTGGATCCTGGGTTTTATATAGATGCTTAAATGTGCGTGCGCGTGCGTACACACACACACACACACACACACACACACACACACACAAGTAAATCTTTGAAAATAGAAATCCTTGCTATGAAGTCTTACATTGTGTAAGAGACGGGATAAGTTCAGCAAGAAGAGATAAAATGAGGTGGCAGGTTGGGATACTGGACAGTAAATATGATCAAAGTACATGTTATACTTGAAAGACGCTGTTCTACGAAACATGGCACCATGTAAATGGATATCCATCAACTGAAACAGAAAAAAGAGGGTAGGTCAACGATGACCTTAATTTTAGCCCTACCAGATGACAATGATTTGAGCTTGAGCAAATTAACAATTCTAACTTTCTCTATCTTTATCTTTGAATCATTAACAGTGATGGCACATTCATTGTGGTGGCATTGCAAGGATTTAATGAGTTAATCCATACAGAACTCTGCTATAACAAATGTCACACAATTAGCACTATATAAATTTGTCGTGTTATTGTTTGATTGATCCTTAGGCTCTATTCAAGAGACAGCATTTTTAATTGTTCTACTATACTTAGAAGCCATCATAATTATTGATCATACTAGGAAGAAGGCATATGAAACTAAATTGATTCACCTTATCACAGTTATTGCATAAAAAGGGTCCTATCATGAACACACAGACTGAATACTTGACACCTAGATTCCTTCGTGCTTTAACTGAAATTTGAGGCTGCTATCCATGGTGTCCAAAATATCTCCTTGCTTCATATATATTTTCAGAAAGATCAATATATGGAATATCTTGTCTCCTGTGTTTAAAGAATAAGTTATTAACTTGTGTGTTTTGGGCTAGAATGTCTGCAACCACCCTCAATTCAATGGCTGCTTTCCTTATTATTTCATCTAATGGACCTAGACTATTTTACACAAGGCTGAATGATGGAAAGGTATATGATGTCATGAGAATACTTTTCTGATTTTTTACTCTATTTTTTTCAGCAAGGTAGCAACATTGTCGCTCTGATCACAGCCAGCTCCATCACTTTCAGGTCCCATTATTGTCTCAAATATTACAGCAACTTGCTCCCAGGCGTTCATCACCCCACCCTCAAGTCCTTTATGTTTACTGGCACAATGCCACGATTTCACATTAAAATAATCTTCAACCACAAGCCATTTGTAGGAAACACCTAGCATAAATGTTAGCCAGCATTAAGTATGTCCATACTCCTGAGATGTTAACCTAAATCAGATTGTAGCTAGCTATTTTTCCTTAAAAGATTTTTCTTCACATTTCAAAACTTTAGTTCTCTTTTTAAAAAATAATCTTTGTGCAATAATTTGTTTGATCATCTAATTTGTCTTCTGAGGTAAAACATTAGGAATTTTGCTTCTATAATATTTTCTCTCCTCCTAGATTTTGAGGTCTAGATGAAGTATATGCAATCTCCTGTCTGAGATATTGAGTCTAACTTGGCTGCAGGTCCTGCATAAAATAATGCTAAACTTGTTGTTTCTTATGGTTCTCTCCCAAAAATGTAGCCCTTAAAATCTCCTGGAACTCTTCTCTCCCTCACTTCCTGGTAGCTCTAGAGATGGACGGTTGTCTTACTTCTTATTTTCTATCTAGCCCAAGTTGTACATAATGCCAAGCCATCATAATTATTGGAATAACTGCCAGTATTAAAATGTCTTAGAAGTGAGGTTTTACATGTCTGTTACTGGTCTAAAATGTGTATCCCATTTTAGGATTCATGTGTATCCCATTTCAAACAATTAATTCATAAGAGTAAATCAACAGAAAAATGTACTTCTCCATATTTTATGTTAACAATATGTGGTAGCATGCATGTCTACAAAACACTGATTACATTCTGTGAAAAGCACAGAAATAAATGGAAGTTATGGTGTCCCTCTTGGAATAGTGGGTGGAATCCCTTTTAATAAAGAGCTTGATGATGGTTGAGCTTGTAAATATTTCCTGGTGCCACATATGACTATACTTTCGGTTCATTTAAGACAACATAGGGGAAAAAAAGAACTTTATAAATCTGATTATATGTTGATGTCCATGAAATTCTTTATTCATTAGAATATTTGACAAAACAGACCCCTGGGTGTATTATTTAAAACACACATTGTTTCAATAAACATATTTGTCTTTGTTTTCTCATGCAGGGACCTCCTGGGCTACAAGGATTACAGACTTTTGGTGGATATTTCAATAAGGTGTGGCTTCTTTGTTCTTTATTGTGTGCATAGAAAATGTATGTGGTTATATTTTTAGGAGGAAAAAACATTGTTAATTCCTAACATCCCAGACCTTGAGATATGTGCTCAAAACGCCTTCCTGACTGAACACTATATTCCCAAATTTAAATTTTTAAAAAGTTCCTAGATATATTACAAACCAAGGTTTTGGATTTATAAATTTTAAAGTAATAGTTCAAAGTTCGATAATGAAGAACCAAAAGAAATTATTTGTTATCTGAAACTCTGGGTCACACTACAACTGCATTTCTCAAAACCAGGGTCTCAAACACATGCCCACATCCCATAGATTAAAAGTGAGAGCCTCCACAGGGATGGAGAGGAACAGCTTGTAACTTCCTTGGTTTCTTTTTCACCACAGCTGGGGTAAAAAAAAAAAAAATACTGCCATGGAAGTATTGGCATGATAAGACTAGCTCCTGTTTATACCAGAATGGTGTAGTAACTACAGAGGACTCAAAGATGGGGATGAACTCATTGATGAGTTCATCATTCAAGAACAAACATATGGGGTTTGATCACTTGGGGAAACTCATACAGTGCCATTTTGTCCTACATTGCCCAAAATGACAGCAACTGTAGTCATTTCAGTAGCTACCAGCTCATTATAGACACCTTGTGCCACAGAAAATGGTAGAAACAGACCCTTGTGTTTTCGGATTTGTTTTCTGGTGTTTGTTTCTTAGAAATTTCTGTAACCAATCTTTGTTCACACATTCCAAGAACCTGTGTTCCAAACCAAGTCTTTTTTTTAGGATTTACTTACATTTCTTTTATGAGTGTTTGTGTGTGTGTGTGTGTGTGTGTGTGTGTGTGTGTGTGTGTGTGTGTGTGTGTGTATTGTGTGTAACATGCATGTCTGGTTCCCAAAGAGGCCAGAACGTGTCAGATACCTTGGAACCAGATCCTCAAATGATTGTGAGCCACACTGTATGGGTTCTAGAAATTGAGCCCTGGTTTTCTGCAAGAGTAACTAGTGCTCTTAACTACTGAACCATCTCTCAGGCTCCCAACCCAAGTCTTGATGATAGCTGCTACTCAAAAACACATTTTTATTGCTTTTCAAGGACAAATGGATTAATCTAAAATTTCAGTTCTTTGTTAAGGCTCAGAAAATGCATACTTGGGTAAATTTAAAATCAAACATGTAGCTACTTTGTTGCTCTTGATAAATTTAAGGTCATGAGCCTGTCTTGAATCTTTTCATTCATTTAGATTTTTCCAGGGAGTGCTGTGTTATGATGGTTACAGTGCTTCCCAATTCTTTATTAAATATCTTAAATAAATTGATACTAGCTTTTTACAAAAAGCATTAGAAGTTGGCAAGTTTTAAAATAATGTAAGCTTGGCGGGTATCTAAATTGAATCAGTATAAGGACAATTTGTAATGACATCTACTGTTATAAAATAGGACTTACAATAAAAGCTTCAAAATAGTGAGAATAAGTTGGGTCTGATGTCACAAGTCAGCCAGAAAAGTTTGAGTGCTATACAATATTCCTCTCACCATCACTACAAAATGTACCAAGCTGCTGATCAGCTACTTAAATATTTGCTAACCCTTGCAAAAACTTTCAAGGCTTGTGTCTTTACAGGTCTCTCAACACCACTTCTATATATACTTTTTCTTACTGATGAGTCAGTTTTCCCTTAAATGAAATATATGGAACCTTTGTATTTTGGAGTCTGAAATTGAAAATGTTAATTTTTAGACTTTGAAGTTAGACTTGCTCTAATGGGAACTGAGCACAGAAGCTGATTGGGGAGCTTTGAGAGTCGCATGTGGGTACCTAGAACTTAGCTATTGTGGCTCCAGAAGAACCTCAGTTACTATCATCACTGGTGCAGAACTGAGCCTTGCGTTAGTGCACGAGTGCACTGAATGTGGCTTTGGGTGGGGCCGGAAGATAATAGTGTAGAGACAGGAGTCAATGCGTCATTTTCCCCTAAATAATGCAATAGGACCATTTTGAGTCAGAAGTGTTTATGTCTATAGTAATCGATGGGAGGTAGCTCACCAAGCAATTTATTCTGTTTCCTCAGGAGATTGGATGGGGCTCCTACACTGAGGTCCCATGAGAATCAATAAGGAACCCCACCCCCAGGACCTAGTGAATTATACTTTTGTACTGTGACCATCTCTTCTTCACAGAGCAAAGGGCTGAATGTGCTGTGATGAGCAAGATGCATTTTTGACTCGGCACTATCCCTGACACCCACATCTGGTTTGGGGGTAGTAAGGTTGTTGCATTTTGCAGTTTGTTGCATGCCTGATGGTCTGGCTATAATAAATGAGCACAACGGGGGTGGGGGAGCTAAGATTAAATAATGGACCATGTATTGAGACATATAAAGTGACACTCCAAGGTTAAAATAATCTTCCCTTTTAAATTGGCATTGATTTATGTGATGCCTGCACTGAGCCCTGGACCTTAGCTCTTCCTCTGGCTGCAGCTACAGCACTTGCACAGCTGGGATTCTGCTGAGGCAGCTCCCCATGGGAGGATGGGTAGCAAGCATGCTCCTCATACATGTTCCCTCCCCTCTCCAAACTAAAAGAGTGATGGTTCATGCCTCATCCCAGCAGTCTGCACTTGCATTTCAGTCCTCAAACAGAATTGATCTATTCCCATACACACTACCTGTCTCACCCAGAGGAGAAACACAGGCATAAGAAACCTCTCTCTTCACAGCACAAATCAAAAATAGAAGAAAAAAAGGGGGAGAGAGGGGGCAGGAAGGAGAGCGATTCACTGGAAGGTGAAGTCAAGAAAATTACATTTGTGTTCACATGTGCAATGATTAAAAAGAAAATAAATTTCCCTCCTATCACAGAAATAATTTTCAGACAGCTGCTCTCATCCTGTTGGGTTGGGGCAGAGCAACAGTGACTCCAAGCACACTTGTCCCTGAAGGAAAGTCTGCTCACTATTTTAGTAAACGTTAGATAGGTTCCATCAGCTTTTAAAGTCATGAGCTCCAGAGATGGAAGTGAAGTGTTATCTATGCAGACTTAGTACTGCATACTGGTGTGGTATACATTTGACACCTTTTTAGAGATCGACATTGAAAAGGCACGCTTATATCATCTTGCACCATCTTGAGGCTCAGTTTGAGCTGTTGGAGATAGATGCAATGCCTCCCAGCAACCGATTCCAGTGTTCATTTCTCCCAACAGTTGATCCCAAACAAATGATAGCAAAATAATCTGTTTCCCTTCCATGTATCAAAGTATAAATTCATACTAATACCCACAGACTAGAAAGGATAGAAAACTCTTGCCCCAAAACAGACATTCAAGGTCTTTTCAAACACAGAATTAAATCTAACAAAGGACACATAGAACAAAGGCTTCCTTGGTGGCAATCCGTCTCGCCCCTAAAGATTTAAAAACTACACTTCAAATACGAATTTCCTGGATTAGTTATTTGTCTTGTTACTGTGACAAAATACCTGAGCAAAACCTCTTAAGGGAAGAAAGGTTTATTGGGGCTCACAGTTGCATGAAGTCATAGCAATTATGGGTTGAGGCAGCAGGTCAGATTGCAGCAGCCTCCAAGAGGCAGCAAGAGATGGATGCTTTTGCTCAGGTCACTTTCTCCAGAACCCCAGACCTATGGGATGGCATCACCCCTGTTCAGGGTGGGTCTTCCCGCCTCAGTTTCCCTAGTGTAGATTACCCCTACACATCCATTCCCAGAGACTAGTTTCTAAATGCCATCAAGTTGACAGTCAAAATTAAAGACACAGTTTTCTCTGCTTTCCCTCTTCATGGCTGGATCCACTGGCCTTTGGGAACATTGAGGACTTAGGCACCAACACATGAACTTTTATAATTTGGTTTGATTATAGAGAGGACTAAACTATTACCTGGATTCTCCCATTCCTTTTGTGGCCAGCAAAATGTTTTCTTGAAAGTACCTTTTCTTAAGAGGTATTTTAAGAATGAATACCAACTTCAGGTATTCATTCAACTCTGAGAGTGATGCTCTGTCGGTCACATATTGTATTTGAACTTTCTAGGGGTTGACTCCTGTAGTATCATCCTGTAGTATTTACAGTCTCCCGGGTCTAGAGAGTGGCAATCTAAGATAAGGTCAATGGAAGAGGTATGACCCCAACTGACCGCTCTAGGGATGAGGGCACTAAAAACCCCTCTTGTAACTTCCAATGGTTCCCCATCCATCCTACATGACACCTTCCTTAGTATATGCCTCTGTGTTTTCTTTTTTGTAAAGTCATAGTAATACTAAGTAACAATATCTTTATCATGAAACTAGTTACATCTGTCACCTTGTTGCCAAATTAAATTTACATTCTGAAGTCCTGGGAGTCTGGCTTCTACATATGAATGAGTGAAGCAGGTTCACAATTGCAGTCCTCAATGAGTAACTTCTACTTTCCTCATGCCTATGACTTTGCAGCATATTTGTAAAAGCATGGACTTGAGTGGGTAGTGACAACTCCATGATTTAGCAGGGAGTTCATGTCCTTGCTTTCTTCCTTGAGTTTAGCCGCAGGAAACTGCTGTCTGTTTCCTCCTTGGAAGCTACAAAACATGGCTACCTCCTTCATTTAATTCATACATGTGTACCATACAGCATCCTTACCAGAAATTTGCTTTCTGAAAGAAGCAGAGTAGACATGAGCCTTCCTATTGCCTAGAGATGGTTCCAAAGTTCTGTGTACCAATCCCCATATAGAAACAAAGCGACAAATTAGCAAGTCACACTCAATGACTGTTAGCATTGTATCTCAGGAAGTTTCAATAAACAGGTCAAAACGGTGAGACTGTAAAGCAGAACTATAGGTCTAGAGGTTAGAAGACTTGTCTCTTACTATTCCTGTAAGGTTGGGTAATTGCCTGGTGCTGTTAGCTTGGATAAAGGAGTGAAGAGAATACTACATGTCAGTGAGTAAATGCTCCTGAAGTTCAAATTTGAGACAGCTGTATTACTAACCCAAGAATGGAAAATAGCACCAGGAGCTCCTAGGGCCAGGGATTAACTGGATTTCTTGACCTGGTTACTGAGTAAAATGAGTATACCTTGTTCTGAGGGTCGTGATGGTTTTCTAGGCTAAAGCCATCAGAAAGTCAAAATTTGGGAATATTGTTAGAACACTGTGACTTGAGGCTACAGAGGAATTGTTAGATCCAAACCACCTCATCTGTGGTACCCTGGAGTTTGCTGGCATACGTCAGGATATACTGTCACCAGAGATACTCCATGCTCTTCTGCCCTGTGGTCCAAGCACCTGGAGCCTCTAACTCTAAAGGCCATGCATTAAGAAGTGATGTCTTAGGCAAAAGCGTATTCCAGCAACCCTAAAAATACCCAAGCAAAAGTACAGCTAGGGGGACATGCTGACATTTTAGGCACAGTGATCAGTGTTTTTCAGGAAATCGCTAAAGTTTGTTTGTACATTAGGGAGGCTAGACTGGATGGTCAACTTAATGTCAGGGACAAGAAAAGAAAATGGTAAAGGCAGGCATGGTGGCCTGTGCCTGTAATCGCAGTGAGGTAAAGCCAGGAGAATCGGGAGTCCAGAGCCAGGCATGGCTACATGGTAAATTTAAGGCCAGCCTAAACCACATGAGACCCTGCCTCAAAAGAAAGTGGGGGCAGTATATAAGACAATGCCAGATTGAAGGGGCTACCTTCTGTAGACAAGATCAAAAAGAACAGATTTCCTTTCCTAATTATTTTTCAATTGTAAAATAGAATTAAAATTTAAAAAAAAAAACCTTCAGAAATACATTGTGAAAACAGTCATTGCCATTCTCCTACTTCTGGATTAATCAATGTGGAAGTTCTTGTCACCTGGTCTTTTCCTCTCATATGTATGCATATGTTGTTTTCATTTCATCTTGTAATTTGTTGGGTATGCATTGCTTCCAGAATTAGATACAGTAGTCTAAAGCTGAGAGAGGAAGAGACATGCTAGGCATATAAACTTGTATTTGTCTAAATAATACCCTAACCACAGGGCAAGACAACAGTTTGGTGTGAGTGGCCAGTCATCTGAGGAGAGAGACTGGACCAAGTCCTAAGGAAGATCAACCTTCTATAGTTAGATGGGGAGAGAGGAAGAGAAGTCTGAGACAGAGATGAAGAAACAGAAGAGGGAGCCCAGAGAAAGACAAGGGCAGCTCAGGTTCCACTCTTAGAGCACAGTAAACCCAGTACCACAGGAATTCTTCAAACCACAGGAGTACACGTTTCCTATAGTAGATGCTCTAAGAACAAGGAGGCTAGAGTCAGAGGAAGTTTGTCTGAAGTTTATATTAACATTAATTATCTGGACTGGTGGGAACATTATGGCCATTTTGATTTAGAAAAAGTTGTTCAAGAATGGGAAGCAAGGCCCTGGAGTAACGATGTTTTCTGTTGTGTTATCACAAGATAAAACAGGTGGACTGACCAAAGAAAGAAGAAATGTTTAAAGAAATTGGCCAACTTCAGCTACAGTTTATTGTCCAGTTTCATCTAACAGCAGGACTTATTGGTGATCAATAGACAAATTCACCCTAAACAAGAAGACAAGAAGGAAAACGGGTTTATTCATTAAACCATAATAAGAACAGACAGCATGACTTACTGGGAGAGCCAGTAGCTGCCAAGGCAGTGATAGGCAGGGACTCCACTTCAGAGTAGTCCTGATCCCAGTAGGGTGGCCTACTATGCATGTAGCTTTCCAACCTGTAATTCCTTCTGTGGGAACCAGGACAGCCGGAACTGGTCAGTGTTCTGGCCTGGGAGGTTAGCATGAGCCACGTGCACATATCATTTTCAGTTCTGCAATCTCCACCCCTCCACCATGCAGATGAGCAGAGTCCTGATTCATCAATGATTATCCTAGGCAGAAGCTGGGGTCACCTGGCTGCAGTTCTGAGGTGTCCAGTTACAGGTTCCACACAGCTTAGGGGAGTGAGGATTTCTGTGGAGGATTTCTGGACCAAACTTCTGAAGATTCCCTAATGAGAGCCTGCCTGTCCTCTTCCAGTTTTCAATAATGGTCTCTCTCAACGCCCGGACGATTCTAAGGCTGAGTGCTTCCTAACAATTTGTATTTACTTTTTCTGTGTCATGTCAAGCACAGTCACCTGCCCAGGGTTGGTGGAGTCAAATTGAGGCAATAAATATTTGGGACTACACAGAGCAGGAGATGCAGAGTGCAACTGAGTCTGGCATGTATGCATATGGAGAAGGGAGTCACCACTCTTAAAGTTGTGACATTTTTCCTGAAAGATCACCCGAGAAGAACAAATGGAATCTCCAATGTTGGAGATGTTTAGCTGGTATTTAACAAGATTAAATATTCATTACGTTAACAGGAATAAAATAAGAAAGACAAAAATGTCTGTTCAAGTGTCGCACAGAATACATAAAACATAACGTCCTAACATTTGACTACCTGCTTATAAAGACTGAATGCATTAAAAATAACTGGACTTTTTGGTTGATTTTACCCAGGGAACTGGTGAGCACGGAGCAAGTGGCCCTAAAGGAGAAAAGGTAATGCTAGTGTTTTTTTGTTTGTTTGTTTTTTTGGTTTTTTGGTTTTTTTTTTTTTTTTTTTTGGTTTTGTTTTAAAAAATGATTAAACACTTTCACCTACAGGGGGTAGCAGTCACTGTGAGCAGGCGCCTCATCTGCCTGCTGACCAGCAGCTGGATGCTGGCTCTTGGGGGGGCGCTACTGAGCAGAGGTGGGCTATAAGGGAGGGAGGTGTCAAGGGAAACACCATTAAGAACAGTCAGGAATCCTTGCAGGCAGCCAAAACCATCTGAAGGAAGACCCAAATGGCAAAATGTCCATGGCTCAAGCTCACTGGTTTTCTGTTCTTAAAATGGAGGCTGTCGTGGGATTATTTTGTTTTGTTTTGGCGAGGTTTTTATCATGCCCAGCAGTAGTCTAGCCAAGTAATTATTTCAAAAACAGTTTTCAAGTTCAAACACCAATGTGCTTCCATTGCATTTTCAATGCCCTCACTTGGAAGTCTGGTTTTATCATTTGTGAGGATGGTAGATTAACCATTCTACAGAAAATATCACTCCACTCCAGTTTGCCTGTAAAACTGTGATGACCTTGGACTGTGAATGTGAACACAGTGAATGTGGTCAGAGGAAAAAAATTAAAAAAAAAATTTAAATGCACATTAAATCAGCAGACAGGGATATGAAAGTTTGAAAACACTCTGCAGGAAGACAGCCTGTGAGAACTACCTTCATTCACTTACCCAGTAAAACTTCTCTTGATCGAGGGCATGATACCTCCACACGAGTCCAGGAAATATGACTTTATAAATCGGCACAGCCAATCTACTCAAAAGATTGGGTATCTCCCACCAGAAAACATCTCTAAAAGATCTCAGCAGGAACAGTGAGTTCCTTATAGACTGACCATTCAAAAGGAAAATTCACAGAATGTATAAATAAAACATGGGCACTCTGAAAAAAAAAAACTGATTTTAAAACGATACTATAGCAATCCAAGTCACTCCTGTGTGTTGGATTTTTGAGCAACACTATTTCCTGTGAGCCAGCAGCTTGTACAGCCATCCCATCCCCACAAATGCATTGCATTTTACGTAATTGCTATCAGGCATATGTAGGCTGCAGGGGCAGCGGGACACAAGGCTTGTCACACAGGGCAGCCTGAGTGGAGAAGGGGAGTGCGACACTCTTTAAAGTGTTTAAATGATGATTCATTTCTTGAAACAAAACAGCTGGCTTCTGTGCCGTCCTCTTCGTTAGCAAACATATGTCACTTAGAAACTTTTAAGACCTCGCTGATGAGAAATTTGATTCTGGAAAACAGGTGTATCTCAAACTCCAGGGACCATCCTACCACTTGGAATCTTTTCTAATTGCCTCAGGCTCTTAAGTGGAGTCAGAAAAAGCCAGTGGCATATTTGTCCCATCTCCTTACCCAAATAAATGATCTAGAAGAGTCTGCAGGGAACTTGACACTGTGCCTGATACCAATGTACCTATGAAATGTTTTTTTTTTTTAATTACCATTAATGAAGGAGCAGCTCTGCCCATAAACCATGCATCAAGTAAACACAGAAACCCTAAGTGTAGTGTCTTCTGGAAGAAGGAAGTCATCTCTGCATGCAAATCCACTTCCTGCCTCTTCCGGACCCATCTCTCAGCTTTTTTAAAATGGTGTTTTTCACAGTGAAAACGTAAAGTCCTTTGTGAGTCTCTGTTTGTGCTTGGTGCTATGGTCAAAGCTTCCAAACCCTGACTGCACTCAGAACCACCAGGAGAGGGTAAGGGAAAGAAATGCCTATTCTGAGGCCCCATGCACAGGGACCTGGGGTAGAGGAAGACCCGTATCTCTGTTACTTAAATATGTGTAAGATGATTCTGGCATGCAGTCAGGGCTGGGAGCCACTGAGGGATAGAATGAGCATTAGCTCTGGGATCAAAAGTTGACTATGACGCTAACTGTTGTGTACCTTGGGAAGCCGCATTGCCCTAAGCATCAGTTTCCCCATATGTACAGTGGGCATAATCGTCACAGGAATTGGTGGGAGGATTAAAATCTAATGAGATGAACTTACCTGGAAGCACAATTCCCAGTGCAAATTAGGCTTTGTACCTTCTGCTCATGAGGTCTCATTTAGCTCATTTTTTCTATGAGCTATTATTATCCTTAGAGCCTTGACTTGTTCCTCTTTGCAGACCTCACCATAATTTTGAAGGGAGGAGACTGGAGTCGGGTGGTAAAATAAAAGATTTAACTAAAAGTATACTTTAAACACACGAATGATTTATCACTGCTGTATAATGTGCCGCTTCTCAGTACACTCACCAGCAACTGAATTACGAAAAACAGCCTACCTGTTGGAAACCAGCATCAACTGAAAACAGTGTGAGTGCAAATTGCTCTGAGTCTGCAAGGATTTGGTGGAGAGTCAGTGAGAACTACTGATGTAGAGACTGTGGGACAAAGTGGCAGAACAAGGACTCCTGGGGAAGCATCAGGTTTCTCCTGGAGCAGAATGTCAAGCAAACAAGATGGAGGCTCAATAGCACACGGCTTTCTAAACAGCATTAAAATTGTCAAGCAGAAAGGTGGTCTTCTGATGTTCTCCAAACTCACTGCTGCTTTTCAACTCATGTCTACCACGATAAGTCACTGCGATGCATTTTAAACATGAAAAAGAACCTACATTCGTTTAATATTAGACATAAACATTTGTGTAATTTCACGTGCAAGATGGGTTCCTACTGTTTTAACCAAGGCCAAACTTACCCAGAGAATGCAAACCACAGGCTTTGTTCAGTGCCTCTGCTGTGCTCCATTGGCCCTCTGCCTACCTCAGCTCAAACATCAGAGCATCATACCCCCTCCCCACCGCCTTCATTCTTCCACTCATCCTCTATTATTTTGAACAGGTGCGTGTTTATAAGTGATTTCTAGCCCCTTCACTTGCTTGCTTCTGTTAAATTAGATGAGTCTAATTGTCAGGTTTATTATTCTTTTGTGACTATATACTGGGGATGTTAGCACAAACCTGATGGGTGACATGAAGGTCAGTTTAGAGTTTTACAAATCAATTGTGCATTGGTGCCTTAAGTGTTCTCTGCCTTTTCTATCTTCCTACATTGAACACAATTGACTATATTTAAAAAACACATACCACCTACAGTGTGCCAAAGTACTGCTGGGGATGCACAAGATGTATTTTGCTAGGATAAATCATATATCAGGGCTGGAAAGATGGCTCAACAGCTAAGGACATGTACTGCCCCTACTAAAGATTCAGGGTTGGTTTCCATCACCCATGATAGGCAGCTCGCAACTTCCTCTAACTCTAGCTCCAAGACATATGATATCCTCTTCTGGCCTCTTCGGTACCTACACACGTATGGTACACATACAGCCTAGCAGGCACACACACACACACACACACACACACACACACACACACACTGAATAAATAAATATCCAGCATATTTTAAAATTTATAACCATTGCTTCAAAGAAGTTTCTTTTCTTTTAAGATTAAAGCTCAAAGAAATCTAGAGAAAAGGCTAGAAATGTATATGCCATATGTGGACATTTCAAAAATGTCCTAGAGAAAAGGCTAGGAATGTGTAGGTAATGTAGAAACATTACAAAAATGATGCTGTCAGTTTGCAGATGAGCAAACTGTAGAACATACAGGTATAAAATACACATACCATTGGCCTATGAATTGACTGTCTAGAAGTCCACTGAGCTAGGTGTGAACTGACTTTTTAATTGGTGTGCTCTTGGTTTTCTCAGACAGGACTTTCACAAGACTGGATACAGCTTTGAAGCATGAAAAATTAGTACTGTGGCTTAACATTTTTACTAAAATCAATATTATACTTGTTATTGTTTTGTTTAAAAAGAAGAAAAGAGAAATGCTGAGACATGAGACATAAGACTATAAGTTTATTATAAGGCCCGTCAGAATGGGGAGACTAAGAAGAGGAACAGGGTAATGGCTG